TTTGTCTTCTGTATTATTAAACAAAGACAAGCAATACATCATATAGTATGGCCAATACTATATTACATTAATTTTAAACTGTTCTTTCCTGGAAGACAGACCTCTGTTATGATGACATGAGGTGATGCATGAATTGATGACTGACATTTTTATTTAACTTCTTCAATCACAACAGTATATTTGAACATACACAATAGTTTATTTTTAGCTTACAAACATCTGAGCATAAAGTGCTGACAAGGAACCCTGGTGTAAACATTAAAATGAAAGTCAGTACAATGTGCAGATTGCAGAAATATACATAAAAAAAATCAGTGGCTTTACCACACTCAGTTTTTCGACATCTGTGAACTACTAGACAGTCATTCAATTAAAAAATAATATTAAATAAATAAAACTAATAAATAAAAAATACACACATCTTACTGATCTCTGCAGTCAGTAACATTACACAAAGTGCAAACATAATAGCAATTGTATAAACACACACACAAACACGCCTTTAAAGTTTAAAGGCGTGAAATTGGACGGTCTAGCCTTCTGGTTCTGATTAGCGTCACCGCTGTCTCGGTGGAGTTTAATAAACTCGGCCGTCTGCTTCTTGCTATCTAAAATATAACCAGACACTGGCGTAAATTCTCGACTGTCTCATACTTCTGTTTAATAAGTTTTCTGTTTGACGTTTAGTCAGCTGTGTGAAAACCAAGGAGGAACCCACCCGGGGGATTAATAAAGTTTTATTTTATCTAATCTAATAACTTTAATCTCAGCCAAACCGATTTACTCACGAACAAACAAAACACTGAAAAAAGCCCAACAATAACATTTTTAGGTTGTCTAAGTGACTTATATATTACGTTTAACCCGAGCAGCGAAACTCCGCGGTGATCTGAAAATGATGTGCCGGGAGTTGTGCCGTTCTCGGCCGCATCAGTAACCCTCGAGCTCCCGGCTAGCTGTCGAGCTGGTGGGTAGCAGACGCCTCTGAAAACGTCGAAGCACTTTTGCAAATATGGGATATCTTGATAAACCGAGCAGATATTTGATGTTTACACAACTACTTTCTCGCCTGAAAATATGTTAAAAGTTTATTTTGTGACCCAGAAAGATTAGTATGAGTAATTTTAAAACTTAGTAGCGGCCGCCATTGCTGGAAACTGGAGTTTGGCTGGGCCGCGCTATGAATTCTGGGATATGGTAGTAATTTGGACAGCCTTATAATCGCAGTATAATCGCAGCCTTTGCGGTTAGAAAATTGCACTTGATCATGTCGCGATATTATTGCAAATGCGATATATCGTTCAGCCCTATTTAAAACCACCAGACAAAACTGACAAAAGCAGTCATTTTTACCTCACAGAAAACAGGACCAGCTCCTTGTTCATCCACTTTGTGTGTTTAAGTTCTGAATTAATGTATTATAACACTGAGAAGTGGTAGACAAACAACTCCTGTGTTTTAAGGGGTAAAATCACTGCTTTTATCAGTGGAGCTTGGTAGAGTGTAACTGCTTCACTTCCTCAGCAGGAAGAGCTGTCGGGCAACAGGTAAACCGGTAACAATGTTCCAAATATAGGGTGCACTTAAACTGATATTGATTTGTTATTGGTGGCCAAAAATCTGCTTTGCCACTGACTGTGCTCACAGACATAAACACAGGTCAAATGGCTTCCAGGTCATCCACAGAATCTATTTATCATACAGAAAAAGGGCCCTGCTGTGCATGATCTCTTGGGACTTCACCAAATAAGCAGAAGCCACATCTAAAAATTCCCCTCTTATTGATGACTGCCATTGGTTAGGAGGATGGCATTTTCCGATGGCAGTGTTTGATGTTTATCTTTTGTTTCCCATCAATTTTGTGCCAAATAAATGTTCAAAAACATTGTGATGGAAGGATAAAAGACTTTAAAACTGTTGATAATGAGAATGTATTTGTTTCTCTTGTTGAAAAGGAGGATAGATGACATCAAAGACAACAAAAACAAGAACACGCGCGCGCGCGCACACACACACACACACACACACACTTCAAGGTGCATCCCTAAAATTACAAATTAAGCTTTAGGGTGTACAAACAAGAAGTGATGCAGCACAAGATTAAAAACAATGTCGCCCAGCATCTTGACCTGAATATAAACTATATTTTACAATGTTTGGTTGCACAACATGAGTTTGTATTGATGGACTTTCAAGTGGGCCTGGAGTTTAAAAGGTTAAATTGATTACAGTTCTAAAAGCCTTTAATAAAATTTAGTCCAAACTGAGAAGGCATAAAAATAACTGAACTCAAGCATTAATGACCTCCAGGGGGACTTTATCTTAGACAAGGCTCCTCTCCTGCTGGCTGGATGCCTGCACTTTGCAGCTAATAACAGCACTAGGGCATGCAGCAGTGGTAACTAGTAGCAGTCACAGGTATAGACATGCTATCATCAATATGGAGCAGCTGAATTCTGATGACGGGAATTAAGGGATGAGAATGCTCCACTTCTTTATTTACAATAGCAATGATGAACGGCATTTTTTCCACAGATAAGAGACAACTTGAAATGATTGAGAAATAAAAAAAATTAAAAAAACTAAGACATGCCATTAGTATTCCAGCCAATGCATAAATGAGGCACAGTCACAGTCTCCTGCAGTTTTGTGAAAGACTGTAGTCAGCAGATTTAAGAGAATGTATTATTAAGACAAAAATAGGACAATGAATGCTTCACTTCAACGCACTAAAAGGTTATGAAAGTATATGTCCTATGTGTCTCCCTTATGGGCAGATCAAATGAACAAAGCTACAATAAGAAACGATACAGAATACACCAGGAATGAAGAGGCGATAACAGAGGGCCCATAAACAAAAGGAGGTTAAATATTATGTGTCAGGGACCTTGACCCCGTAAAGCCCAAAACTTGCCCTAAAGCAACCATGGGGAAGGAAAAGAGGCATAAAATGTTCTCATGTCTAAGCATTAGCCAAAAGCCTAAAGGTGCAGTTTTTTGGATTAAACGCAGATGGGGGATTGCCATGTGGCTGAGCCCTGAATAAAGTGAATTACAAAAACCCAGACGAGACCAGACAGAGCCTGGATGACTTTTTGAAGACCAGTGAAGGTTAGAAAGGACTCAATCTGAGCTATAATCCATGGTTGCTGGAGGGAACATAACAGTGACCTTTCAACTACAGATAACCACCATTTTAAAAAGCAGCTTACAGATACCTGGCACTTTTGGTCGCTACTTTTCTTTAGCTCGTCGACTTTAACAGAGAACTTTCTACCCTTTGAGTGCAAAAGATCCATGTGCTGAAACCATGGTTCTCAACGTGTGGCCCACGGGCCAAAGACAGCACATGGCAATGTAGAAAGAGTGAACACATTTCATTCATCCGCATTTTATGTCATAGGATACCAAGTGAACATTTCTCATTATCTTTAATTGCCATTGTAACTAACTAAATCTTGTTAACTAATACTTCCAACCTGTGTCAGAAAAATAAATCTTATGGACACTAAAAGTGTTTGACGAGCTCCCTTTTCCATGTGCCGGCTCCATAAACCGATATTCTAAACTCTGACAAGAGGTTTCTCTGAAATGAAATCTCTTTTCCATGAGACACCAGACCAACAACACATAATGATTACGACACACCAGCAAAATGCCCCAGTACTGAACTCCACAGCCTACCTGACTATTATTGCTGACCATGTCCATCCCTTTATGACCACAGTGTACCCATTTTCTGATGGCTGTTTCCATCAGGACAATGCACCATGTCACAAAGCTCAAATCAGCTCAAACTGGGAACATTACAATAACTTTACTGTACTCAAATGGCCTCCACAGTCACAGATCCCAACCCAACAGGGCACCTTTGGAAAGTGGTGGAATGGGAGATTAGCATGGAGGGTGTGCAGCTGATAAATCTGCAGCAACTGTTTAATGCTATCCATGTCAATATGGAACCACATCTCTGAGGAGGGTTCTTAGTTCTAAAGGAAAAAGAAGGTCCAATTTGGTACAAGCATACTAAAAATAGCTGGTGAGTGTATATTTACATATTCAGTGTAATTATGCATTAAGAAAGTGAGTTTCTGAATCTCTTAACAACATAAAACAATTAAAGTGAGATGCAACTTTACAACCCTGCTAAAACTGACTTGCGCTTTTGAACTGTGATTGCTTGAGCTGTGAGTACAACCTTGGTGTCAATGAGTGCAATCACAACAAAAATCCCTATGGGGGTAAGAACTGAGCCAAAGGGGAAAAGTCAGGATGAAGAGGTAAAAGAGTTAAGAGGACTCTTCAGCACCATGGACAGTTCACAAGGCTCATAAAACCAAGTCTTCAATAGAATTCCTCCTAAATCAATCTGCCCTGCACACTTATTCGCACATGCTCTTTTATCACCTCATTTACTAATAGGTGTCCTTTGCGCTCAATGTCATTAACAGTAGTGCTCGGGGATAAAGTCATCTTTATTCTAAGTTATAGCGTTAAATTAATGACCTCATCTCACACACACACACACACACACACACACACACACACACACACACACACACACACACACACACACACACACACACACACACACACACACACACACACTTCTATGATTACCAGCTGCTTTGAAGGTGTCTGGTTACATACGAGCTTCCTAGAAGTAATAGTTTAAAGCTGACACTCCAGTGTTGCTACAGCACATGCGTAGTGATATTACAAAGCTGCTTTCAGTGGACAAAATTAATTCCCCTGAACACATCGGAGCTTGTTAGTGCCAAGAGGTCAATTTCAGACACAGAGGCCAAACACGTAATTAATACGAGACGGGGGATAATCATACACGGGATAGCGAGGTCTAGAGCAGAAGTAGTTCCCAGGAGTTCGTGCCAGTTCAATGTTGCTGGGATCTAACATATATTAACAACACATCTATTGTTTATTATAAAGAGAATTTTGCTTCGGCTGTGTAAGAAAAATAAGAAAAATGCTACGCTTACCTTCACTGCTTCAGCATGGGTGACTTTATCGAAGACTTTGTCGTTGACTTTCATGATCTGGTCACCGACCCGGAGACCCTCTTTCTCCGCCAAGCTCCCGGGCTCCACCAGGGACACGTAGATCCCGACTCCGTGCTCCGAACCGCCGCGAATACTGAAGCCCAGGCCCTCGTTGCTCTTGTGCCGCTTCATGGTGACCTGGCGCAGCTCACCGGGCGGCTCGTGGATAAAGTTCCTCCCGAGAAGAGGTACCAGGGGAGCTGTCCCGTCGCTACTGGTGCTGAAGCTGTCCGGAGAGCCCCGCAGCGCCACTTGAAACTCGGGGGGGTTGTTTGGAGAGAAATGCCCCGGGGGCGTCGGGCTAGCGCTGAGGAATTCGCCCGGGGACGGCTCGGCGTGTCCGTTGCTTGCAACTAAATCCGACTTTAAGTAAAGGCCCTCCGAGGTGTACTGCTCGAAAAGGAGCTGATCGGAGCGGGGGATCACCAGCCGAAGCATGGGCAGAAGTTGCCGTTTGCTGGGAGCGTTGAGGATGACATTGAGGGTCTGCACCAGGTCGTACACGTTGCGTTTGGAGTGGTAGACATTCAGGCAGTGGATGAACTGCTCCCTTTCGAAATCGTTGAGCAGGAGATTGAGCGCGTTGTGCAGCTTCCTCACGTTAGCTGACAGCGTCCGTGCGCTGGACGCCACAGAGTTTACCGAAGAGCTGAGCGACATGCGCTCCAGGTCGGTGCTGCTCATCCTGGCGGTGTGACCGGGACACGGCACCACACTTCTGCGGGGTTAGAGAGCGCACATAACGGGATGGACGCGCGGGATCAGACCGGCGCTTGGCATCACGACCACTGGAGCACTTGCAGCGCGGTTATACCCATGGTCTCCGGTACCGACAGATGAACCACTTCACCACTTCTCGCAGACACGAAAGAAGTTCAGAGAATTATGCCCAACTCAATGTCAGCGTTCACCCAAATTATCTCGCTAATATTGATTAGATATCGCTAACAGTATTCCGCAAACTTCACGCGCAAACGGTGCGTCACGGCTGGGAATGCAACAGCCGCGTGGAAAACTCGTCCCACTCCGTCAGTGAGCTTACTAATGTGCCACGTAAAGCTCTCAGCCTGCGTGTCATCAGCTGCCGTCTTATTTTCCAGGAGGTCAGGTGGCTACCGAGCTGCCGCTTCTCTGGTGTCCGCCTCGCCGTCAACAGCCCCACTCCAGTTCAGAATAAACACCGGAACTGAAAATTACACGCATTCAGTCCAACAAATTCGGCAAAAAGGAATAACAATTCCTTCGATGAAGAAAACAGAAAAGGATGAAAACTTATTTTTGGGCTCCTGCCCCGCGTCTCGAGGAGTTCAATATCCCGCTGTGGTCACCGTTTTACTTCCAAACGACTTCAAGCTCGCAAAAAATATCTATCTATGCACATCCGCACGGAACAAGAGAGCTTTGTTGGTTTTTGCTTTTATTATCCGTTTGCTTGAAGTGCGACGGTGACCTGCAGCTCAGAGTCCGCTTCCCAAACGTTACTACAGCGACTGAGCAAAGACTGGCGGATCTCTCGCTTCTGACCGTCCCCTGTCAGGAAATGACGCAACCTCATGCAGCCAATTAGTAGGTGGGAATTAGCAACAAGCACTCGTGTCACAACTGACGCCAATAAGTTAGTAAATGGATCTTTAATTAGACACAACAATAAACTGCTCTTTACTCAGGGTCGTTTGAAGGATTTTATAAATGGGGTGGCACAAGAGGAACCAAGAACAAAGTGCCGACAAACACGTGAATGTCTGATTGGAAATATATATATGTATATATATATATATATATATATATATATATATATATATATATATATATATATATATATATATATATATATATTTGTTTATTTATTTTTTTAACGTGGAAAACTGGTTTAGAAAAAAATTGGTTTTATTTATTTGTGCAGCTCTGTGCCCTGATGCATATGGTATTATATGAAAAGTGGCTCTATACAAGAGTCTGATCTTTTACATGTATCTGTCTTGCATAATGGTGAAACCTTGGGCTGTGAAAAATAAATAAATAAAGACAGAAACAGCTAGAAATTACCACATATGATTAAAACAGCGCAGTGCAAAGTTATCAGCTCACACCAGTTTGTTTGGTTAGCAAGCTGCTGTACAGGTGAAGCACACACACGACTACACATGATCTGGCGTGGAGCTTCATATCTGCTTGAAATAATAAATGTATTACTATTACTATTTTGTGTGTAATTTACCATTTTAAGGCTTTAGGGCTGAGACAAACTAGGGCAGGGAAGGTTAGTCCTCGAGAGGTTCCTGCAGGTTTTAGATCTCACCCTGGGTCACCACACCTCAGTCTAATCATTCAACGAAGGATTTCAAACACATGACCACTAAACACATAAATGTATGTGTGATCTTTGATGTGTGATAATGTGGGGTTAAATGAATAAGGCCCCACTCACACGGGCCACTTTCAAAGTCAAAATACACAACTTTTACTTACTTACTTTTATTTCTGATTTTTCAAGTTTTACTACTGCTGGGTTAGTAGTTAGAGAATATTTGTAGAAAAATATGAAAAACTACAGGAAACCGTGGAAATCTGCTAGCAACAAAAGCAATGCCTACGAGGTTTTTGTTGCAATACTTCAACCAGTGACAGATTCAGCAGTTCTTCTTGTAACCACAGGGACTGCCCCCTATTGGCCAATAAATACAAGCACTTCTACAGTGGCTTGACTTTTCAGACTTGGGATCTATTAATACAGTCTGATCAGGGCCTGTGTTGGTATTACTAGGTCTGGGTAATCAAAGCCACTTAGTGCAATGCTTTGTTATCAAATCACCATTTATTATGATGTTTATTCAGTGATTTCAGGAACCAGATTAACATATGAAATAATTTGTGGGTCTCAGAGTCATCTTATGACATGACAAAGGAGAGAAAATATATTTTTGTCACAATAAAAAGTTTCAGTTGCAACTTTTTATTACTGGTCTTGTCAGCTCTAACCTAAAAGTTTCACTGTACTGACATAAAACACTTTAAAGGTCTTTTTTTGTATCTTAAATCTCACTTTGCAAAAGGAAAACACCACACAGCATCAACTCAGTGTATCTGTCTCTGATTTTTTTTCCCCTGTAATCCACCTTTTCTGAATAGGAATTGATCTTTGTCTGCAGGTCTCTCTCTGGAGTTTAACTAGCAATCCTTGATCCATGAAGCCTCAAGCTATAGCCAAAAGGAGTAAAGTGGACTTGAGCTCGGCTCCCAGAGTGATCGATCACAAGAGCAAAACTGTGACGATATCAACTGCAAAATGAAACCCTGTGTTCCAAGGCCATTGTGTTGACAAATGGCGGTGTGCAGTTTTGGCAGAGCTTCAGAGCTGAGTCTTCCTTTAAAACTGAAGCCAGTGCAGATATTCATTCCACTTTATTAACCAGTAACTGAAGCGGTGGTAAGGCTGACTGCTCTCAGAAAAAGAACCATTGTGACATTTTAATTTGAAATTATGATCCTGGGTGTGCTGGGTGACAAAATTACTAATGTCAAAGTAATTAGTGAGGTTTAAAATGGACCAACAGACTTGGAAAATGAAACTAACTCGGAAACTAAAAATGGTCTTTGGAAATGAATCAATAAGACAGAGAATGCACTGACCATTAAAGGAGCAAATGAGGTTAAGGCAGAGCCGATTGAAATCACAGATGAAGTCAGCACTCTGCTTTTTGAAAGTGATGCAGCAGAACTGTCAGCAGGCGGCAACCCAGGGAGCTGAGATAAAAACAAAAGCATTTCAGACGATGCGCATAGTTTCACAGGAGGAGGTTTATCATTTAATGACTCGCTTCCCAGAGTCAATCTTCTTCCTCCAAATAAGCTTGTTGGAATATTAATGGTTTGTTTCCATGGAAAAATTACTTCATATTGTGTCTACAACTGTCTCCCTATTAGAGATTAATCAGAAAATTATTTCTAACAGCAATTTTACAAAGTAATCGTCCTTAATTGTTTTTTCTTTAGACAGCAGCTTAAAAACAACAACAACAACAACAACGACAACAAAAGTTGATAGAAAACAGAAAAAGGCAACAATCAAATATGTGAGAAAGTCAAACCAGAGAGTATTTCACAGTTTTTGACAGATTAAACAAGTTACTAATAATCAAAACAGTCACAGTGATACTGGTAACAGGGATAAACTGTTCTGGCACTTGTCACAGACTCATTTAGTAAATACTGTTAAATCTTGTTGTTCCAGATCACCACAGGAATGTGCGGGCTTGCATCTCTGCCCATAAAACTTAAAAACTCATGCCTGTTCTGCCCTTTATGTGTGGTGGCCCGGGCAACGTGCAGGTTTTTGTGTTTTACTTTACTTTCTTTCTCTCTCTGGTCTCAGGTGGAGTTATGGGATGGCTGTTCCGGCTGGGCCCACCTGCTCTGTTTCCCAGGGTTCAGCCGTCACTTCCGTCTCTCATCATCTCATCAGTGAGAAGCATTTAAAGACTGGCTTGTGCCTTCATTCTCCAGATTGTTGTCATTTCGATGGTGGTAATTGGCTCCCTCATGCTCAGAGCTCATTTTTACTTCAACCTGTGATCACAAGCTGGCTACCAGCTACCTAAGGAATACTTACCTGTAACGTACGTCTCTGCCCCCCTCCTCCCTGGACTCTTCCAGCCAGTCAGTGTCTGCTGACCAAGACAACTGGCTCCACTTCATTCTGAAATGAATATTGACTTTGAAACACTTACCTCTCACTGAGTCTAAGTCCTGCTTTTGTTTTGTTTATTTCTGGCAGTGATTTCCTGCCATGTTCCTGTTATCAGACTCTTACCTGCACAATTTCCTGCTGCTATTTCCAGCATCGTTAAATTCCAAACACCTGTAAATAAAGCGTTTTGAATGGTTGCTTTCGGAGTCAACTTGTCCATTTGCACCTCTCAACTGCTCCAAATATTCCTGCTACTGTACCTTTGGATTGCTCACTACCGTCACTTGTCCAATTAGTCTGAAATATCCATCATCCATTGCATTTAATTGGGGGGGGGGGGGGGGCGCAGAAGTGGCACGGAGTATGACCAGTAAAGTGTTTGGTAAAGATTGGGTTGGTGTGGTGCTACTGGTAGAGGCAGACTATTTCTACAGGGCTGGCCAGGGTAAGCTGCTGGTGTGGTATACAAGTCATGTCTTCATTTATTTTTGGGTTGGACACCCAACCCACCCATCCATCCATTCTCTTCTGCTTATCCTTGTCAGGGTCATTTGGAGGGGCCTCTAGCCCCAGCTACCATGGGGCTAGAGGTTTATGTTGTCTTAATGATTTAATATTTAACATTTCTGAAAGTATTTTTTATTTGTTGCCAGTTTTTTATTGTTAAGCTTCACAAGGCAGTTACTATATAAATGGTTGTTCATGCTGTTAAAATGGATGTTAACAGCAGTCATAAGTAAATAACTCTGAAGGTACTCCGTGTCTTCGCGCTCACTGCCCTCTTATTCTTGCACTCCTGCTGGAAAATCCACAGAGGCAGCCGTTAACATACACCTAAATAGCGACAGACTAACACTCACTGAATTTGCTGAGAACACTGACGGGTAGTCACACAACGATCCACCGTCGAAGAGAGCTCAGCCGCACTGCTAAGTAGCTCCCCGGAGAGGCTGATCAGCTACAGGTGTGTGTCATCGTTGGGTGTGGCCAGCCACCTGGCCTGTGTTAGATTATAATATTATTTTATGCCATGTTATACCCCTAACTAAAGATTGTGAATTATTATGTAGTTTTAGTTTGCATTATTCTCCTGAATTAGAAGAAGCTGATAACTATTGCATTCGTTAAGCTGATTTGCATTACATTAGACTGCTGATTTATTGTGGATGAATGATATTGTTTTATGATGTTATAAGAAATACTGTTTGCAGAAAGTCATCGCCTTATTTGTCTGATTAGAAGAGAACAGAGCATGCTGGAGTTTTCTGCCCCAACTCAGCAGGAGCAGATAAACAGGGAGCCAAGGTCGTAGCTTAGGCGCCGTGTGAGAGAAAAGCATGTGAATGTTTAGGCTTTTATGATAAGGTGGGGGCACCAGAGGCTATAAGAGTTTGAGCAATGCTCCACCATTTTGAGATCTGAGGCTGTCTGCATACGGTGTCCATCTCCCACGTGTGTGATCATTAAAATCATCGTTTGACTTGACCCGGCCGGACCAGTGTTGTTATTGTGGTCTTTGACACCATCCAGCTTTTGGATTGACCAAATGCTTCTGCAAACCTGGCCCAATCACCCAACATCAAGGGCAAAACTTAGTAATCCAAAAAACAGCAGCTACTAGTGGTTTGGTCCTGTTTTGGATGTTGTTTGTTTTACCAAGAAACTAGGCAAGTGGCTTTCTGGAGTGAAAAAATGCAGACTAGATACAAAGGAATAAAGAGCAGTTTCATAACTGAAAAATCTAGAGTGTAATCTGGTGTATTCTGTAGAAAGTGTAAGAAAATTGCACGAGTCTTGGATTTATTAAAAATTAAATCCATGTCTAACTCATCAC